TTTTATTTATATATATATTTATTATTTATTTATATATATTTATTTATTTTTTATATAATGTAAAATTTGACATATTTTTAATGGAAATTGAAATTTTATTTAAAAATCAAGTAAATGATATAAATTTTATCTCAAAGTAATTTTCATTATTTCTTTATAACTTTAACTTTTTAAATTCCAATGTTGTATTTGTTATTAATACTCATTTCCAAAATGTGCAATTTTTTTTACAATAATTAAATGTAACTTTTTTTATTTAAATATAATTTTAAATATTTTTTCAATAAATTTTATTTTTTTAGTAAATAAGATAAACAAATTGCCAATAAAATTGTTCAATTTCAGTTCTTTATTTTATATAGTTGATGTTCAATTTACATAGATAATTTTATGTGACTTGAGATCAATTAATTTTTTTGATTTATCAAAAATTACTTAAATATAAGTACAGCTTTACAAAAAATATTATACCTAAACAATATGTTTTAAAATAATAATATAAAATAAATATAAATTAAAATAATAATATAATATAATAATATAAAAAAAATAACTTCATTGATTTAATTGTTAATTTTCAGGTACAAAACTTAAAAGTTTAAAACTTAAAAAGGTTTTTTGATCATCATTTTTGAAATGTGTAGATTATCGCAATATATTTTTTTATATTTTCAAATGAGCAAAAAGTTATTTTATAATTTTAGTACTTTAAATATCAATATTTTCCTTTAGTTTAAATATTATAGTTAATAAATATTAAAGTTATTAATTAAATATTAAAGTTAAATATTATAAATTTAGTTAATATTATATAAAAAGAACGTATTATTTAATATGCATTGTATCAACTGCCATCATGAACAATCTTTTGGCAATTATTAGATTACTCATTACATAAATTCATGCGTATTTTTAGCTACAAGAAAATAAATACAAATAAATGCAAAGTCAAATTTTATTTTTATCTATAATTTGCCATTAATTTGCATAATTTTTTATCTTTTTGATGATATTTTTTTAAATTTATTTTAATACGATGCAATTCTATCTGAAAATTTTTTAACAAATTATTAATTTATATTAAATATTTGTTTAATATTTTTCTTTCAATATTTAACATTTATTCAGTATAATATAAATTTTCATATTTTTAAAAATTTCTATATGATAAAAAAATATTTAAAAAGAACTAATACTATTAAATATGCAAAAAAAGATTGTGTAAAATATCAATTATTCGAAAATAAAATATTTCATAAATAAAATATTTCTAAATATTCTTTATTTCAGATATGCTTTCTGAAATAATTACTAATTCTCAAAACAAATATATCTTACAAATATCAATAAAATCGAAACAATATGAATATCATCTATATTTATATAAAAAACAAGAAAACATTTTTTTATGAATAAGATTTACAAAACTTTCAATAACATCACTTATAAATATGTAAAAAATAATAACAATAGAAAATAGATATCAGACCAAATCTAAAGCGAAAAAACGGATTAATAATAACTTGGCAAATTATATATATATGTATATTTTATATGGGTTACTAATTAAGTCGTATCACTAATTAGAATTATTCAATGCACTCGGCCGCGCCTGATGACATAAAAAGAATGAAAAAGGAAAAGAATATCATGATTCCATCGCAATTTAAAGCGCAGAAACCTATAAATCGTGATGCGTGACGGGATTGTAATTTTTTTTCTTCCCTAAACATCATGAAAAATGAAAATGAGTATATAAAAGCCAAGACTTAGCTATTACGTTTCACATTCATTTTTATTTCAATACATTCGTAATTAACAATAAATATGTATAATAATAAAAAAAAATAAAAAATATAATAAATATTTTACAAATTGCTGTAACAATGAAATGTAACAATATAATTTCAAATATGAAAATAATTTGAATAAAAATTTTATTTTAATAATTGTATAATTGTAAATATAGGATATAAATAGGGTAAAAAAAAATATAAAAAAATTTTATTGTGGTGTATCTAATAATTATATAATGATATTTAAATTGTTAAAATTTGATCAATAAATTTATTGTTGTGAATAACTTTGAAAATATTTTCATTTATTTTATATATTTTTCAATATTATTAGAATTTAATTTAATAATGATTTTATTTTTGTTTATAGCAATAACTGAATACTTTATTTGTATAATACTTCATTGTACTTATTTTGTAAATATTAATATTAGAATATTAATAAATTTATAATTAATTAAATTAAAATTAAATTAAATTAAAAAAATATATTCAAGAAAACAAATGAAACAATAAGCAATGATAATAAAGATAGAAAATAAAATATAAAAATTCTTATAACTTATATTCTATTTCTTACAATTTATATTAAAAATAGATATTAAATTTGTAATTTTGTAAATTTAATTTGAAATATTAGAAAAAAATTTATTTAAAATTGAAAATAAGTTTCTTTATCGTTCATCTTTTTATTCTCTGATATAAGAGAGCCACAAAAATCACACTATCTTACAAGGAAATTCACTTATTTTGAAAAATCTGATTTTAATAAAAATTTATGTATATATATATATTATGTATATATATTATGTATATATAAAGTATATAAAAGTTATATTTAAGTATATAAAATATAATGAGTATAGATAGAACAATTTATTTTCTGATATTTTATAGAAATATTTTATATAATAGAATAATAGAACATTATTATCTACATTAAAATCAGAATATTTTATAGTTTAAAATTTTGTTCTATCTCATATAAAATTATAAAAACGAAATATTAAAAGTTTAAGAGTTGATTCATCATGAAATAAAATTTTATTAATAAAAAAATTGTTCCATATATAATTATGATTTACATATTCACAATGTTCACAATATAAAATCGAATTAAATTATTATTATATTATAGTTATTATTATTATAAATATTTTGATAACATAAGTTATTAGTTGAATTCATGAAAAATCTATAAAAAATTTGACTGTATTACAACGATAAATCCATTATTCGCGATATTTCTACTACTTCACTTTTTATTATCTATCATATAACATCTATTGCATAGTTCAAATTTTAAAAAACTTATTGAATGTGCATTCCTTCCATAGCTCCTTTTATTCGAGAAAATAAAAAAAAAAGAGAGATTTATAAAGTGGAAAATTATGCGAATATAAATACGGTAGAGCATTGTGATCGATTTTAAATTTAAAAATTCTTTCAGAGAAATGGCAAGCCAAATTATGGAAGAGGCAACATCTTCGACAGATTGACATTCCTCTCGAAACTATTCTGCGATGAAAAACACGTGGTTTCAACGTAGTATCATTTCCATAAACTAGCCAATTTTTCATAAAATTCTTCATTGATGATTCACCATTTTTCAAGTAAATCTCCCTTTGCTTTAATTCATAGTTTTATTTTTCACGTGACGTCCAATATGGAAACTAACTCACACAATGTAAGTTAACTAAAACAATCGACAATGCGTATCTCTTACATACCGGTAAAGAAGTGATCAGCATGGACATAATTGTCTATACTATTATAAGTTTAACAAAAACAGAATTATTCTCGAAACTTTATTGTCATATCTCATACAAGTTTAATGTTGATCTACTAGAGCTCGAGAATTTTCGAGTAGACTTGAATTTAAACAAAATAAATTCGAACATATTATGAATAGTTTGAAAAACAGTAAATATACAGAGTATCTCATTTGATTTTGACACATTGATTGTTAATATTATTATTTTTTGTAACGAAAAATATTTCAGATGAAAATTAAATGATATAAAGAAATGCATATTATAGTATTTTTATTAATTCTTTTTAATACACAAAGTTGCAACAACTTTGTTTTTTTTTTAAATGGAATTAAATATTTCTTAATACATCGATCAATATAATTCGATATTCATTATAAAAAAAAATATTAACTCATATATGGTTAAAAATTATTGGTTTAACTATTTTTAAATTTTGTAAAATTTATTATATGATAAAAGATAAGAAAAACATGAAAAAAAACACGCAAATATACTTTGTATATTTCTTATCTTTCAAAATGAAATGAAATGTTCTGTATATGTGTTAATATATTTATAAGATATTTTTGAATAATTTTAAAGATCAAAACAAAAGTTGGTATATAAAAATCAATTGAAGCTTCTTTATTAATTTATTATATGCATTAAACGAAACAAAACGCATATTGAAATCAATCTGTTTCAATTTACTTTTCACTATTATCATATTCTGTCTCATTCCATTTAATACAAAGTTAAATTATTTATAATTTAATAAATAGATCTCAATTAATATTTTATTTAACATTTGTTTTAAATATTTAATATATGTTTTAAATATTATATATAATTATAATTAAAATTAATATATAAAAATAAATAAATATATGCTTGTAATATACGTACTTGTAATATTTTACAACGATTTGTTACACACTGGTCGTCGACACATGGCTGGTACATCCCCAATGTAATGCAGTTTAAAAGAATTACCATCATGCTCACTCTTTCGAACCACGTGATGCTATATGTTAAGGAAAATGGTTTTGCTGTGTTTCAATATTAGATTAAGTTAATTGTTAAGTATATTAGTTGAAAAAAGTTTATATCTGAGATTTACTTTCAAATAGAATTTTCAGAATCATATCTATTAGAAATAGATTTTCTATCTATTTATACCTATTTTTTGCTATTTTTTTAATTGTTGTTTTACTGTAATTTCAAGCTATTTATATTCATTTCTTCGTCAATTTAATTAACTGTAATTTTCTGTAATTAAAAAATATGAAATTGTTTCGAATAAGAAAACTAACTATTCGATAGTTATTATTAGTTATATTTTTATTAGTTATATTAATTTAGTTATATTAATTTTATTATTAGTTATATTAATTTCTATTTGAAAGCTATCTAAAAAATTCTAGATATTCTCTCAGCCATTTGAATGATACTTTTGATAGTCATTCTTCGCATCAATACGATAAATACTTTTTAAAAAATTCGTGATAGTTTTATTTTCAAATAGATTTTCATATTTTTAATCTAAAGAAAAAAAATTATATATCATTAAAATTATTTTAATTCATTATGATGAGAAATGCATGAAAAATGTATTTATTTATTGTTAATATTTTCCAATAGTAGAAAATATAATACAAGAATTTTTGATAATGAATTAAATATTAAAGTGAGAAAATAAAATTATTTTTTTGATCAAAAATTAAGCAAATTAATTTCTAATGATTTATAAATTTATAAAAATCTGTAATTTTCTATTTTATAATAAAAAAAATATTATAAATATCTTTTTTGAATTAAAATCTTAATTAAATTATGATTGAGTTGAATTAAAATTACTTTTACAAAAAATAAGTATATTTAATTATTTAATTATGAAAAACAAGTAAGAAAAATTTAATAATTGTATCAATAATTTATATTAGTAATAATAATTAATAATTAAACAATTTTTCTCCGTGATATTATAATATTAATAATATAACAATTTTTTAATATTGTTCAAATATTATATTATTAAACAAATTTTGTTTCATTTTTTATTATAATAACATTGTTGAATCATTAATAAATATTCGTCTCTCAAGAATGAAATTATTACTCTAAAGCGCAATTGCACGACTTTATCAAAATTTTCTATCATTTAAATAATTAAATAATTAGCTATTGGAATATTATGTCTAGCTAGTAATTATAAGACAAAGCTCTTATCAATTATTTCTATAGATATCGTTATTTAATTAGAAGTTTCATTCTCATTATAATATTAATTGCATTCAACGATTCCTTAAATGAGAAATTTCATTTATATTAATTGTTATAAATGGAAACAAAAATTAAATTTAATCACAAAATTATCAATTAAGTTATTATTTAATATTAAATTTTAAATCATAAAAATTTTTAAGTTTTTTTTAAAAACATTTAGAAAAATTAAAAAAAAATTTAGATTGTTGCAATATTAATAAACATATCTTAAAAGAGCAAAAAGATTTTTTTTTTAATTTTTAATTTTAATTTAATTTTATTGTTTAATATTATAAATAATGATGTTTATTTGAATCCTATTTATCAATAAACTAATATTCTATTAATTTCTTAAATATAGATTATATTATTAGATATATTGTTAACTATTACAGATATTTCAAAAGTTAATTTTTCATAATAAAAATT